AGTGTCCCATTTGCCTTCTTCCATACCCTATGAACCTGTCCAGGGATCTGTGGGCACACACCCCAAGATTCCTCTGCTCGTCTGAGCTTCCTAATGTTCTGCCATTCATGCAGTACTTGCTTCTCTTGTTAATTCTTCCAAACTGCAGCATCTCACATTTATAAGGGTTAAATTCCACCTGCCTCTGATCTGCCCATCTAACTAATCCATCCCTATCTTTCTGTAACCAAAGACCTCCGTCCTCACTATCAACCACCCGGCCAATCTTTGTGTCAACCACAAACTTATCACAACCCCATCTACATCATTATGAATACCAAAAATAATAACAGATCTAGGACCAACTCCTGTGGAATATCACTGGACTCTGGCCTCCCGTCACACAGTTAACCTTTTACGATCACTCTGTCTCTGGCCACTAAGCCAATTTTGGATCCTACTTGCCAATTTACCCTGGATCTCATGAGCTTGTACTTTCTTTATCAGAGTCTCATATGACGACTTAGTCATAGGCCTCGCCAAAATCCATACGTAAACTACATCAACTGCCCTACCCCTATCTATACATTTGGTTACTTGCTCAAAAAATTGAAATTTGTTAGGCATGACCTCCCTCTGGCAAAGACATGCTGACTATCCCTGATCAAACCTTGCTTCTCTATATGGAGATTCATTTTCTCCTTCACTAATTACTCCAATAGTTTCCCTACCATTGGTGTGAGACCTGCTAGCCTCCCTAGTTTCTCTCTACCACCCTTCTTGAAAAGTTGAACAACATTAGCTGTCCTCTGGCACCTCCCCTGTGGTCAGAGACAGTTTAAAAATTTTGGTCAGAGCAACTGTTATTTCCCCTTTCGTCCCCCACGCAGCCCGAGATACAACTCATCCAGACCTGCGGATCTGTCCCTTTTAAACCAGCCGAAACTTCCAATGCTTCCTTGCTTCTGATGTTAATTTCAAGAACTGTGCAGTCCATCTTCTCAAATTCCATATGTTGCGTCTGCCTTCTCTTAAGTAAAGACAGATTGAAGTACTTTTTTAACACTCTACCAATGTCCTCCAGCTTCATGCACAGATTGCCTCCTTGATACCTAACAGGCCCCCACTCTTTCTATCGTTATGATTTCCCTTGATAAACTTGTAGAATATCTTGGGATTCTCCCTAACCTTGCCCACCAGTGTTTTTCATGCCCATCTTTGTTCTCTTAATTGCTTTCTGGAGAACCCCCTAATACTTTCCATACTCTTTCAGGGCCTCCGTTGCTTTGCTCCCTTTATACATGTTATATGACTCTCTTCTCTTTTTATTCAATCCAGAATATTGCAAGACTTCCAGGGTTCTCTGAGCTTGTTAGACCTACATGTCACCTTAAAGGGACATGCTGGGCCTGGACTCTCTACAGTACCTTTCTGAATGCCTCTCACTGTTCTGCTGCAGTTTTACCCTCAAGTGGCTGCTCCCAGTCTACTTTAGCCAGATCCTGCTGTACTTTAATAAAATCTGCCTTACCCCATCCAACAACCCTTTTTTTTAATTTATTCACTTATAAGACATGGACGTTGATGGCCAGCATTTATTGAATGTCCTAAATTGCCCTTGAGAAAATAGGGGTGAGCTGCCACACTCCATATGGTGTGGACAGAGCCACAATGCCATGAGGGAGGGAATTCCAGGATTTTGACCCAGAACAGTAAAGGGTGATATATTTGCAAATGGTGGTGTTCCCAAGTATCTGCTGACCTTGTCCTTCTAGATGGAAGTGGTTGTGGGTTTGGAAGCTGCTGTCTAAGGGTTTTTGGTGGATTTCTGCAGTGCATCTTGTTGATAGCACACATTCATGATACTAAGCTTAGGTTGGAGGGGGTGCAGGGGAGAGTGGATGCTTGTCTGTGTGGTGCCAATCAAACAGACTGCTTTGTCCTGGATAGTGTCAAGCTTCGAGTGTTGTTGGAGCTGCACCATCCAGGTAAGTGGGAAGTATTCTATCACACTCCTGACTTTTGCCTCATACATGGTGGATGGGCTTTAGGGAATCAGGTGGTGAGTTACCCACTGCAAAATTCCTAGCCTCTGACCTTCTCTTGTAGCCACTGTTTTTATATGGCGGGTCCAGTTGAGTTTCTGGTCAATGATAACCCCAAGTACGTTAACAGTGGGGGATTCAGTTATGGTGACACCACTGACTATCAATGGGTTATGGTTAGATTGTCTCTTACTGGGGATGGTCATTGCCTAGCACAGGTAGCACAAACGTTTCTTGTCACTTGTCAGCCCAAGTCTGGATATATTCCAGATCTTGTTGCATTTGAATATGGATTGCTTCAGTATGTGAAGAGTCATAAATGGTGTTAAACATTGTGCTATCAGCAAATGTCCCCACTTCTGATCTTTTGATGGAGGGATGGTCATTGAAGAAGCAACTGACGATGTTTCAGCCTTGGACATTACCCTGAGGAACTTTGGCTCTTGTACCACAGTGGTAGTGTCCCTGCCTCTGAAATAGGAAGCCCAGGTTCCATTGTCATCTACAGAGGTGTCAATGGCTGTTACTTTTACCTCACCTCTGGAATTCAGCTCTCTTGTCCAGGCTTGAACCAAGGACGTAATAATTTGGCCAGGGGCTGAAAGACCCTGCAGAACCCAAACTGGATGTCAGTGAGCAGGTTGCTGTTAAGCAGGTGCTGGTTTGATAGCACTGTTGATGACACCTTCCATCACTTCACTGAAAATTGACAGTAGACCCATGGGGTGGTAAGTGGCTAGGTTAGATTTGTCCTGTTTTTTGTGCACAGGACATACCTGAGGAATTTGCGACATTGTCGGGTAGATGCCAGCGTCACAGCTGTACTGTAAAGGTTGGCTTAGGGGAGTGCCAAGTTTTGAAGCACAAGTCTTCAGTACTATTGCTGAAATGTTGTCATAGCCCATTGTCTCTGCAGTGGCCAACAGTTTATTGATGTCACGTACAGTGAATCAAATTGGCTGAAGACTGGCATTGGTGATGCTGGAGACCACTGGAGGAGACCGAGAAGGATCTTCCATTCAGCACTTCTGGCAGAAGATTGCTGTGAATGCTTCTCCCTCAACTTTTGCACTGATGTGCTGGCCTCTTCCATCAGTGAGGAGGGGGATATTTGTTGAGCCCCCTTCTCCAGTAGGCTGTTTCAATTATCCACCACCATTAACGACTGGATGTGGCAAGACTCCAGAGCTTAGATCTGATCTGTTGGTTGTGGGACTGCTTAACTCTGTATATCACTTGCTGCTTATGCTGCTTGGCACACACATAGTCCTGTTTAGTAGCTTCACAGGTTAACACCTAATTTTTAGGTACACCTGGTGTTGCTCCTGGCACGCCCTCCTGCACTCGTCACTGAACCAGGATTGATTGGTGGGTTATAGCTCAAAGGAATCATCTCAACTACAGAACATCACTATAGGCGTTTCATCAAGGTTTTGTCTCAGACACAGCTTTCTTCAACTGCTTAGTCAGTGAATTTCCCTCTCTTATATGGTCAGAGGTGCTGAGTTTTGCTGATGATTGTGATATTCATTATCATCCAGAACATTCCAGATAGTGAAGCAATGGCTATTTGAAACAATAACGCGATAATGTTCCGTCTAGGACTGATGAAAGCTTAGAAGCGTCCTGCTGCACGAGTGTCATGGATTGCTGATCTAACCAGTTCCCCATAACACTCATTAGCATGACCATCACTAAATTTCCCCATCTTCCTGGGGTTACTATTGATTAGAAACTTAACTGGGCTAAACAGATATAAATTGATACCATAACTATTGTTCAAGGCAAATAGATTACTGTCGTTATGAGTTTTCTACCCCTTGCTATTTTTAGTTCCACCAAATTGATTAGCTTAGAAAATCATGATGTGCCAGAGTCCTGTGGTTTTTTTGTCACTGTTGTTCTTTCTAACCAGGATTACAGCCCTTTCAATTTCCATTTTGTCTATTTCTTCTAAAAGTCAAAAAGCCTGGAATTTTAGTTTTTAACCTTGGTTTCACTGCAATAACAAATAAATCAAACCCATTCTTTTCCACCCGTTATTAATTTATTGCCTTTGCTGAGGCGCTTCACGCATTCAGATTTTGTGCTTTAGTTTTAATTTATTTTTATTTTCTCCCCGACATCATTGGAGTTCCCACTGTCCTATTTAACTACACTGTGTCCCTTCCTGATCCACCCTGCTTGTTTCTACTTATATCTCTGTTCTATAACCTCGACATTTCTCTTACTGTTTGAAATTATTTTTTACTGAATCCTCTCACTCCAAGTCCACTTCATGAGTTTAAAGCCATATCTGCTTGCCTTTGTGTTCTAATGACCTGAACAGTGGTGCATTCCAGCTTAAATAGAGATCATTCAAATCAAACAGTTTTCTCTTTCCCCGTACTAGTGCCACTGCCAGATGAAACGAAACCCCTGGCAGTTACAACATTTTATCAACTACTCATTTATTTTCTTTTTCTAACTTTGTCAATTACTTATCCCAATGCTAACTTGCACTTGGCTCAACCAAAAATTACAAGATTATTGCTGGTGAGATTCTGCATTTTACTTCTCAAACTCTCTCAGATTAGCATCAGTCTGGACGATTACAAATTGATCCTCCACCTCCAAAGTCCTCCTCGTAGCCACAAGGAGTAAATCTAACAGCTGGCAGGCAAGGCAACCTTGAGAATTCTTGGTCTCACCGGAGACACCGGTGTCTTAACTCCCACACGCCCCTTGAACGGCCTTTTATACCACAGTACCACGGTCAGTTCGCTCATTAAGCCTGCAAACTCTGCCTTTATCTTTCAGGCAGCTAAAATCTCGAAATACAAGCGAAAGCCCCAATAAATGACTTCTGTGATGGAGAACACAGAAATCAAATTGTCAAACAAACATAACTGTCAAAGAAAATAACACATTCTACGAATAAACACTAAATTCTGACTTTAGTCTACGAGATTTTCAGTTTCAACAATCACTATTTACCTTAAGTTTGTCATGAGATGTATACGGAGCTTCTGGAGCATAGATTCTGAAGATATCAGCCAGACAGCATGCCACAAGCAAACGAACATCTTTATTGGGATTCCTGAGAAAGAATTCCGAAGCCAAATGCAAAGCCAATGGAAGATATTGTTGCTTTTCATCTTCAGAGTCCTGGTCCATATCCATGAAAGTTTTAACCACCATCTGTACAGCAACAAACACATTGTCAAGTGCAAATTCCCAAATTAAATTCAAACTATTTTCTGCAAGGGATGGTAAAATGAAAAGAAAAACAAAAAATCCTGATATGTTAAATGCACGCAACTTAACTCTTAGTATTTAAATTTAATTCTTTATGATAAAGATGTGCAGGAAAAAGAAGAAATGAAATTATTCCTACTTATGAAACAACTTAGATCCAAAACTTTCTAGGACTGTTAGGGCATGTATTCTTTAAATAAACAACATTCCAGTACATGCCTTATTTTGTATCAAGAACAGCTTGTATTTTTATCACATCTCTAACAAAATATCCCAAATCACTTCTGAGGCACTATAAAACATGACACAGAGCCACATTAGGAGATATCGAAGCAAATTACTAAAAGCCTAGATAGTCAGGTATTTTAAAGTTGAAGCATAAAGGGGAAAGCAAATATAGAGAGGTAGCGAGATTGAGGGAGGAAATTCCAGAGCAAATAGCCTAAACAGCTTAAGGCAGGACCACGATGAACCAATAATTTTAAAAGTCAAGATACTGCTCGGCCAGAATTCAATGTGGACCAAGAAGCATGGAGGAGGATGAGTGAACAGCATTTGCTGCAAAATAGGACACAGGCCTAAATGACCTCACATTTACAGAGGATTCAAATGTACAAGATTGGCCAGAGGTTTGGAGGAGTTCAGTCGTAGGAACAGCATTTGTAAATGATGGAGAACGTGGCAAGGGTAGTGAAAATATTGTCACAAGGGAGGGGACTGACTGGTTATTTTTATTCTAACTTTTTAGGCCCTTGTACAGTCCCAATTTATTTTCATTAAGTTTGGCTAACCAAACAAATAAAGGAATTTGAGGGAACCTCAGTGATGTGAAGCTCACATCCAGAAACATATGGGAATTTCAAAGCAATGTGCACAGGGATTGCCATCAGCTAGAGCAGTTAAAGCTCAAGGTATCAAACTTTAAGGAAGTTGGTGCTAACACAAGGGTGAATGTTTCATGGCTCGCATGTCTCTGGAGATGGTCATTTCATAGCTTAATGTTCAGGCAGAAGTGGAAATGCGTGATCATTAAGAAGTCAAGGATGATCAGGCATTCATCTGAGTGCAGGTCATACTTCAGAATACTGGTGACAGAGATGGTTCCTCTCCAAAGTGCAGTCAAATCCTCAAGTCTGCAGTACCATAGTTGATTGAGACGTATGGAGGGAAGGAGGAAATCTGGGGAGAGAATGGTAGGGAATTCCATAGTTGGTGGAATGGCTAAGCCTTTCTATGGCTGCAGACATGAATTCACAATGGCATATTGCCCTACTGGTGTCAAATGGACATTTTGGGATGCAGAGTAGAAAGACCGAGTAATCAGCAGACATGACTCGCATTGCTACCAATGATGCAGGTACAAAAAGCAATGAGATCCTACAGGTAGATTTTAGGGAGCTAAAGAATCTAGCAATCAGGATCTTAAAACTAATCAAAGCAAAATAGTACAGATGCAGGAAGTCTAAAATAGAACAGAAAATGCTGGAGAAACTCAGCAGGTCTGAACACATCAAATGGAAAAAGAAAAACAGAAACCAAAGCTCTGAAGAGGCTCTGGACTCAAGCTGTTAACTGTTTTTTCCTTTCTCAACAGTTGCTGTCATACCCGCTGAGTTTCTCCTGAAAATAACAACCTCTGGTTCATTTCAAGGGCTACCCACCTTGCTTGTGGGTATAAAATTGGAAAAGAGAGAAGATGATGCATGGTGAGAGGGGTAGTGCAGATGGAGGGCTTTCAATTCCTGGGATAATAAAATCAATGCTGCAGGAAATGCAACCTGCGTAGACAGGTTGATTGATTCTGACTCTTTCAGATGTAATTTGTTGATAACTTGCTCATACAATTGGGGAGGATTTATACTAACATGACAAGGACTTAGCACAAAGAATTAAACATGTAAGAGGGAAAGCAAGGTACCCAAATAATTGGGAGAGACAGACAGCATTCAAGAACAAAACAGTAAGGCATTGGGTGGAATCAGATTAGATGGGAGAGCAATAAAGTCCAACTTAGGTTTTCTGTGCGATGGGATCTGTCATTTGCAGAGTCTGATTGCAGCAATGTTGTCCAAATGGGATATAGGTCAGATTTGGGGCTGAGAAGAAAGCACAGCCTCCACACCACATACACAAGCATACCACAGGAAACACTTCTGATTTTTTGCATGGCGACCTCCACAGCAACGAAGGGAGACTGTCTGTTTCTGGGCTTCACAGCAATAAGACTTTGATCTTTCCTTCCAAAGGGTGTGAAATGGTTCAACCTGTTGCACTATGAAAACTGATCTCAGATGATTTGATTAGAAAAGAAGGTGGAAAGTAGTAAATGTAAAGACTTATCCTGGAGCCGAGATGAAGAAAATAAATTTACAGTCATTGCTATACTTATTTGAAAAGAACCAATTCACCAAAAGTGGCCTTAAGTTGGATGAAGCTGATTCTGGTGTATACACGCCATCAAGACCGTCATGAGTGAAGACTAGGCGCTGTGCCTCATTTATATTGAGCCTCATCAGAAAGCACAGGACAGAAATATCAGCCTAACAGCCAGGTGGACAATTAAAATGATAAACCACATGAATTACAAGATTATGCCATAGAGTGTTCCACAAAGCAGTTATTTAAATTCAATGGATGCAGGCATTGCTGGCCAGCATTTATTTGCCATCCCTAGATGCCCCTGAGAAGGTGCTGAGCTGCCTTTTTGAACTGCTGCAGTCCATGTGTTGAGGGTACAACCATAACACCATGAAGGAGGGAATTTCAGGATTTTGACCCAATAACATTGAAGGAATGGTGATACATTGCCAAATCAGAATGGTAAGTGACTTGGAGGGAAACTGCAAGTAGTGGTGTTCCCGTGTACCCGTTGCCCTTGTCCTTCTTGATGGAATTATCATTGGTTTGGAAGGTTTAGTCGAAGGAACCAATGCGAATTTCTTTAGTGCATCTTGTAGATAGTACACACTGCTGCTACCGAGCATCGGTGATGGTAGAGGGAGTGGATGTGGCACCATTCAAGTGGCTGCTTTGCCCAGTTGGTGTCTACCATCTTGAGTGGTGCTGGAGAGACACTGTTCCAAGCAAGTCAGGAGTATTCCATCGCACTCCCAATTTGTGCCTTGATGGTGGACAGGAAGTGAATTACTCACTGCAGCATTCCTAGCCTCTAACCTGCTCTTGTAGCCACTGTATTGAAATGGCAAGCCCAGTTCACTTTCTAGTCAATGATAACCTCCAGGATGCTGACAGTGGAGGAATCAATGATGATAACACCATTGAATATCAAGGTATGATGGTCAGATTCTCTCCTGTTAGACATGGTCATTGCCTGGCTTTTGTGTGATGCGTGTGTCACTTTTCACCTTTCAGCCCAAGCCTGGATACTGTCCAGGTCTTGCTGCATTTGGGCACGGACTACTTCAATATTGGAGTCATCGCAAATGGTACTAAACATTACGCAATCATCAGTGAATGTCCCAACTTCTGACCTTATGATGGAGGGAAGGTCATTGATGAAGCAGCTCAAGATGGTTGGGCCTAGAACACTACCGAGGAACCTTGGCTCTTCCATTTCAGTGGTAGTGCCCCTATCTCTGAACTAGGAAGGAAATGTGCGTCATAACATGACTGAACATGTTGATTGAAAAATATTGACAGAGGACTGGAACTGAGATGACTGATGTCCAAAACAACCACCTTCCTTTTAGCCAAGCATAACTCCAACCAGCAGAGTTTTCCCTCCGATTCCCCTGGACTCCAGTTTCGTTAGGGCTCCTCGATGCCACACTCGGTCAAATGTGGCTCTGATTTCAGCTCCTTTGACCACGCTTGAAACAAACCTGTAAAGACGTCAGGAGCTGAGTGGTCCTGCCAGAAGCCAAACTGGGTATGACATGAACAGGTTACTGCTAAGCAAGTGCTGCTTGATAGTACTGTTGATGATAGCTTTCATCACTTAGTCAGTTAAACAATCCGTTTGGTTTCCCCAACATATAGATGATAAGTTGTGAGCCATGAATATTTTAGATTAAATTTAAAGTAGTACATGAAAAACTGTGGTTCACCTGTAAGGAATGCATGGGGCCTGGCATCAGAAGGTGGTGATAAAAGTACAGGTATTGTGTCTCCTATTGTTGCATGGAAGAGAGTTGGAGAGCTGAAGTGATTGAGGAGATCAGGTGTCCCGCAGCAAACAGTTCATTGACATGGTGAAAAGCAAGGGGAAGAGAAGACATATTTGGTGGTGGTATCACACTGAATATGCCAGAAATTGTGGTTAGTAATCTACTGAATAAAGGCGACTGGAATAGAAGGTGAGGAACCTAGCAACTCAATGATAGCTTATGGGAATGAACAAGGGGGAGGGGATCAGGAAGGGGGAAATTTTGTTGGAGGGGGTGGAAGTCATCTTTCAGAACAATGTGGAAGACTACATCATCAGAACAATGGAATAGAATTCTTACAGGGTACAGGGTGCAGAATGCAAGAAGAATGGTAATGTCACTGCGACCAAGTAGATACCTAACAGATACGACGATAGCATTACTCCAGAAATAGAGACAGAAGTCAAGCAAGGGAAGGGAAGAATCAGAGATGGGCCATAAAAGAAGGGTGGAAAATTGTTGAAGAAGTTTTGCAATTCAGGGCAAGAGCAGGAACATCAACACAATGTATCAGAAGAGCGAGGGCAAACCAGAGTAGAAGAAGAACTGAAATATTGAACATATCCAATAAAAAGGTCAGCACAGCAAGCTCTCATGGTAGTAACAGGAGCAACACTTTTTGGAGGAAGTGAGATAAGTTAAAGAATAAATTCTTCACGGAGGGAAATGTTCAAGGTTAGTGATTAATGGAAGCTGGTCAAGCCTCCACTCAAATATCTAGTAGAGAACCCACTGAACATTCTGGAAGGAAATGAATATGTAGAGAATTGGGAAGTT